TTCCTGCATATATAATGCCACACAAAAATAATCAAAGAATGTGAAAATCTTAGATTTTCTGAAAATGGGATTCTAAAATACAGAAAATATATTATCAAAAAAAAAAAAACCCAATAATTTACCTTGTTAATTAAGGATTTACGGCGAAGGATTGAAGTGGTGAGGGCAGAGATAGATATAGATCCACCAATAAGGATAATGGAGCCTTTTGCTAACGTGCGCAGGAGTGGTGGAATCATTCGAATGCGCCCTTTGTTTCTCACAGTTTTGCTGTGCACAACAAGGAGATAAGTCTATAAAGAAGAAATAATTTGAAATAATTTTTAATCTGTCAAAAAAAAGCTTTTTTTTTTTTTGAAATAATTTAATCTTAATTTTACATGTAAAAATGGTATAACTTGTTGGAATCTAATTGGTATAAAAGTTCTTCCCGCCGTTCCAATTGATGTGAACCTATTTGACGGGATATGAAATTTAAGAAAGACGTGAACACTTTTAAAATTTATGGTCGAAAACAAATCATAAAATTTTTGTTGGTTATAATTTTTTTGAAACTTGTGGTATTAAATATGTCACGAGTATTTTTGTGGCTATAAAAGCTTTTCAATGAGGGTAAAATTGGAAGTTTAAATTAAATTATTTTCTAATTTTGAAAGGAGATCATTCTTTTTTAAATGGACCAAAAATAAAAATATATTCACACAAACTAGAACGAAGAGAGTAATTCTTTTGTAAAAAGAAAGAAAAGACATATAGAAGTCTCACTATCCCTTGTTTTAAAAATAATTTTGATATTTTATGTTGATTAGCTTATATGTTAAAAATTCCTTTAATTTCTTAAATTTCATACTAAGTCAAACACTTCACATAAGATGGTAGGGAGGAAGTAGCTAGTAAGTCAAGACATTATTTTTTTTTTTTTTTTTTTTTTTTTTTTTTTTTGTAGAGTAGTAAGTTGGTAAAAAAATTATAAAGATTGTATTATTTTTAAAAGAAGGTTTGATATGCTTTAAATCAGAGGTGGATCCAAAATTTAAAAGTAACGGGATTATCACTGTTGAAGTCAAGTTATGATTCCCAAACCGATCAATTCAGCTCCCTAACCTATGAATCTTAAGGTACCAATCAAAATATATATTTGCTATTTTAGATATATACACATATATGCATATATTTTTTCCGAAGTTACCAAAGCCGGTGACTTCTCTACCCAAAGGGTAGGTCCACCTCTGCTTGAAATAGTAAAATTATATTTTGAGTACAACAAGGAATACAATTATACTTTAGATTTAAAAACTAATTTAATAATATAACAAGTCATAATTTTCTATTATAGAGAGTCTTTAGAAATATTTGAAAATTGATCTGAATGATTCGAATTTAAATCTTCATTAAAGTAAAATAGATGGAGCCCAAAATGCTAAATCATTGAACTTTTTATTTGCCCAGGGAGATACAGCTCTGCAACTATGCTGGCTGATAGTCAATTGACAAATAAAAATTAATCCACTTGAAATACGACTTTGAGTAATCTTGGGAGCTCTAAAAAAAAGAAAGTAAAACTTCAAAAAGAAGTGAAATAAAATAGGAGTACCTGTTTGAATAAAATAATAATTCAAACAACTGTCATGGACAATATAGGAAAAAATAATTAAAGAACATATAAAAAGGAACTCTACCCTCTAGACATGGATATATTCTTAACTTCAACGCCTTAAGCTTGAAGTTAACCATAGAGAATAACTATCTTCCCCTTACCATAGAGACAGATTGTACGGAACTCATTAATTTAATTGATAATAAGAACTGTTCCTATAGTCTAATTGATGATTGTAGATGCCTATTGAGTAGAGCAGGGGATCCGTCACTACAACACGTATACATAGAGACTAATCAGGCGGCTGACTCAATGGCGAAGAATGGAAGCAGCTTACCAGTTCTTGGAAGCTTAATGACTTATCTAATTGTTAAATTCAGTGATGAACACATATTAAGTGTGTGTGTGTGTGATTGATTAAGCGAGTAGAAGAGAGAATTGGGTACAGAGGAAATGAGCTGTAACAGAGTTGCAGAAGGAAAAATGATCTTTCTTACATTTATAATATGAGATACAAGTATTTATACAATTGACTAACTATGGTTTACTTTAACTAACAATTAACTACCCGGGTTAAGTTATCAACTAACTATGGTTGAGTGAGCTAACTAACTAAGTACCATGTGTACAACTAGCACTATCTTCTACAGTAATTCCTCCTACAAGCTAGGGGAAATGAATATGTTCTTCATCCCTAGCTTGGAAAGCAAGTGATGATGTTGCAGACGAGGAAGACCCTTAGTAAGAACATCAGCAGGTTGTTCGGCAGAGGCTAGATAGATAGTCTTGAGCAAACCTTGTTGAATCTTCTCGCAAATGAAGTGGCAATCGATATTAATATGGTTGGTCTGTTCGTGGAAAGCAGAGTTGGCAGCAATCTGGATAGCAGATTTGCTATCATAATGAAGAGGCACAAGCAGATGAATCTTAACATTGAGCTCTTTGAACAAGTCATGAGCCAAGTAATCTCAGCGACAATTGATGCCATACTCCTGTACTCTACTTCAGCAGAGCTTCTTGAGATGGTGGACTGCTTCTTCGACTTCCAGGATATGAGAGAATCACCATACATGATAAGGTACCCTGTGATGGATCGTCTAATGTTAAGGCATGAGGCCCAGTCTGCGTCACAAAATGCATGTAGCTGGGCTACACGAGAAGTAGAAAAAAGGATACCCAAGCCAGGAGCATGATTGATGTATCTAACCACACGACTAGCAACCTCCATGTGAGATGCTTTGGGGGGAATGCATAAATTGGCTAAGAGTTTGGACTGCAAAATATATGCCATGCCAACTGATGGTAAAATATAGTAAACGACCAATCAGTCATTGATATACACTGGGGTCAGTAAGCAATTGATCACCAATTGCCCCAACATGCTGATCAAAAACAACTGAAGTGAGTTTCAAATTAGGTTCCAATGGGATAGCTAAAGGCATAGAACTAGTCAATCCCAAATCAGAGAGGAGCTCTAGAGCATACTTTCGTTGATGCATCAATATGCCCTCCTTACTTCTAGCAAATTCCAGCCCAAGAAAATATCTTAGCTCACCAAGATTTTTAATTTTGAAACTATGCTGCAGAATGTCTTTAGTTTCCTGGATGAGTTCAAAGTCATTGCCTGTGATCAAGAGATCATCTACATAGATCAAAACTATGACCATTTTGTCTAACACCTTTTTTTGTAAGTAAGGAGTAATCCAGATGACTCTGAGTAAAGCCAGAAAATACTAAAGTAGTGGTCAATTTGATGTTCCACTGACGAGATGCCTGCTTAAGTCCATAGAGAGACTTAAGCAGCCTACAAACATGTTGCTCCCCATGTGACTGTGTGAAGTCAGAAGGTAATTGCATATAGACTTCCTCAGTTAAATCACCCTGTAGGAATGCATTAAACACATCCATCTGATAAATTTGTCACTTGTGAGCTGCTGCTAAGGATAGAACTACTCTAACTATCACTATTTTCACCACAGGTGAAAAGGTTTCTTGATAGTTAATTCCCCCCTTTTGACCATAACCCTTTGCGACAAGCCTTGCTTTGAACCTTTCAATATCATCTGAATCTTTATACTTTATCTTTTACACCCATTTACATCCGATGGCTTTTTTCCCAGGAGGAAGAGGCATGATGGACCAAGTATGATTGTTTTCCAGTGCTTGTATCTCTGCTTTCATAGCATCAACCTATCTTGGGTCCTTTGCAGCTTCAGAGTAAGTTCTTGGTTCAAATTTTGTGGAGAGCTTAGCAACAAAACTCTAATAAGTAGGTGCAAGAGCCCTGTAGTTTAATACATAAGTGAGAGGATATAGGCAAGTATTGGCAGTCCTCTTTTTTTTGTCTAGTTGAACATAATCTTGAAGCCAAATTGGAGTTTTACTAGGTCTGCCTAACTTTCTTAATGGTTCTGAAGGAAGTATTTGAGGTTGAGAAGAAGAGGGAACTTCTGATGCAACAGGAATTTCTGAGACAATATGAGAAGTTGATGTAGACAATGTAGGAGCAACATGAATATCTGATGTAACATGAGAAGCTGGTGCAAACACTGTAGGAGTTATAGGCTCAGATGGGACATGTTGTCTCAGTTCTTAATAGGAGGGAAATCCAGAAGAAGGCTGAGGAAAAACTGGAGTCACAGTGGTCATGTGCTGTTGGAAAGGAAAGACTCCTTCATTGAAAACCACATCTCTCCTTACAAAAATGGACTTGTTGTCCATTTCATACAACTTATATCCTTTCTGAGTAGAAGCATAGCCTAGAAACACTAACTTGATTGCTCTAGACCCAAACTTGTCTCTCCTAACCAAGTTGGTGGCATAGCATAAACTGTCAATGACCCTCATATGTGACAAATTAGGTGGTCTATTGTATAACACCTCAAAGGAGATTTATTACCTAGTACTAATGATGGCACTCTATTGATCATATAGACTGCTGATTCTACACAGTCTCTCCAGAATCTAAGAGGTTAATGCCCTTGAAATCTGATAGCCCTAGCCATTTCTAGGATATGTCTATGCCTCCTTTCTATCCCCCCCCCCCCTTTTTGCTGTG